ATTGTAAAAAAAGCATGTCAAAAAAAGCATAATATTATTACTATTATGTCAAGCAGAAAAGCTCAAAATGGTCAGAGAAACATAAAAAAGGGGGTGGGCGTAAGCCGAGGAATTACCATTATTTTTAACAAAATTTTAAATAAAAAATGACTAACAAATTAAATAAACATTGAAGTGATTATTACAATAAATTAAATAAAGTTTTGTTTTATTTGTTATCCAAAAAAACTGACAAAAAAAACCTCTCTCTCTCTCAAAAATAATTTGAAAGCTACACACATATTTTTCTTTAAAAAAGACTAAAGTTTATTTTTTAAAAGCTTAAAAATAAATAACCAAACAAATTTATTTAAACATTTTTCTCTACAAAAATTCATTTTCTTTAACTAAAAAACGTTAATAAATTTTAAACATTTATTTTTCTTTTGATGTTTTATATTTTTGATAAATGTGCAAAATATTTTTTAATCTTTTAATTATTTAAAGTCTTTAATTTTTTTTGGAATTTTTAAAAAATTAATTTTGTTTGTTAAAATTAAAAAAAATTTTTTTAATAATTTAAATGTAAATATTTATTTAAAAATTAATTTTTTTTTAAATTTATTTTTAACATTGTAATTTTAAAATCATTGTATTATTTATAAATTGTGTACACCCCAACGTACTGCGAGGCCAACATACCGCAGTGCTATAACTCCGTTCAAAATGGTCGAATCCGGGACGGCCTGATATGGTTCGACTCAGCTCGTCGAGATGCATCGAACCATACCAAGACGTCGCGGATTTGGCTATTTTGAACGAAGTTATAGCTCAGCGGTACGTTGGCCTGCTCCCTTATAAATTAATAACTCTCTCTGAATGAATACTTTTTTACCTTTTTTACAATTTTAGTTTATTTTTTAATAAAAAAATTATTTTTTGACTTTCCCTGTTTTTTGTTTAAAAAATATTTTTCTCTAAATTTTATTGTAAAAATAAAAATATATTTTTAATAAAAAAATACTTTTTTTTAAATTTTTTTAGATAAATAAATGTTTAAATATTTAATTAAATTTATTTTTATTTTTAATATTTTAATTAATTTAATTATTCCAATAAATAATTTAAATTTAAATAAAAAAGAAGAAGAACAATATTTAATTGAATGTAAAGATCCTTTATTTAATTTAAATAAATGGGAATGTAAAATTAATGAAATTGTGGAAAAAGAAGGAAATTATTCAAAAAATATTATTAATAATTTAAAAAATATTTCTAAAGAAGAAGAAAAGAATAATTTAATTAATTCTGTCAATCCTTTAGAATTATATTATTCTTTTAAAGTAATTTAATTTATTTATATTTTATTAATTAACCTCCCTATCCCTTCTTATGGAACCAGAAAATTTCAAAAATTAAAGGAATTCTCTCACAAAGGAGAGTGCCTGAGGTGTCTGTGGGACTTCTATCAAATTTCATCCCGAAGTCCCAAGGACATTTCAAGCCCCTCAAATGAATTAATTTTAGTAAATTTGTTAAAAAAATTTCCTTTTCTTTTTATTAAATAATATTTAAATACTCTTTACTCACGTATTTATTTCACCTTATGTTCCGATTCCGGTTCCGGAAAGTTCCGGTGTTTTATGGTTCCGGTTCCGGGAATCGGAACTCAAATAGGATCCGGTTCCGGTCAAAATTTCGGTTCCGGTGTAACTTTAGTATTTATTTATTTCCCCATAATTTTTTAGGTAAATCGTTCAAACGGCCAATTATTTATTTCAGCAATTTTAAGATGGGAATTTACATCCACAAAATTTTTTAATTTTTATAAAATATTTCTTTATATTGAAGAAATAAATAAAACTAAAAGTATTTACATAGCAATTTCTTCATTTAATAATTCTTCTATTGGAAATTTACAAAGGGTAAATAATAAATAAAATAATTTTTTAAAAATTATTTTTAAAGTTAAAAATTGTTTTGCAATTGGATGATTTATTTAAATTTGGATATTCTTACAATATTAAAGTAAATTTATATTTTGAATTTTAATTTGAATATTTAAAATCTTTTATTTTATTCACTTAATGTTATTACAATCAACCTCTATTTTTAAATATCCTCCCAAAATTAGGGGGTTATTTGTTTTTGTTATTTTAATTAGTGAGGGGCAAACAACCTTTCTAAATTAGCGAAAATGAGAAAATTAAAATTCTTTTTATTTTTTTTAAATTTTTGTTTTATTTTTTAGATAATTTCTTTACCTTCATTACAACAACAAAATGAAGAATTAAATAAAAATTCTTCATTTTTTAATTTAACTAATATTGAAGAAGGGATATATGCATTTACTGACAAACAAATTAATTTTGATTCTTTACGTTAGTTTTTAAAAAACCTAAAAAAATATTTTTTAATTTTCGGTTTTGAAAAGGATTCCTTTTTTTCTCGACAATTTCCATTTACATATTTCCATTTAAATACCCACCACTCACTCATGTTTCAAACAAAAAATTGTTCAGAAAAAATTTAATTATAATCCATAGGTTCTATATTTAACAATTTTGCATGCCCACACCTTAAATCAATTTTTTTATCAGCGTCTATATCTGTTTGAACAAAAATTTTTAATTAATTATTTATCTAAGAGATAAAAAAAAATAAAAAATTATTGGAATGTTCACTTCCATTTTTTTCCGTTCCAGTTATTTTTGCTATTTTTTACTTTTTATTTTTACAAAATTTTATTTTTTTTAATTTCTTTTTGAAAGAAAAATAAATTTAGAATTTTTTAAAAATTAATTTTTTAGCAGAAGAATTAAATTCAAATATTTGCCATCAAAAATTAAATGAAAATAATGTTGTTGATGATCATAATTTAAAAGAATGGAAAAAGCGGCAATCGTTTGCTAGTAGATGGTTAATTATTTTTAAAAATAATTATAAATTAGATCTTATAATTACATACCATATAACCTGTATTAATTGCCCTCCCTCAAATAATTTCCCCACTTTTATCAATTACCCCCTCCAGCATAGATTGAAACAATAATTACCTCCAGACAAATACACTAAAACACGTTCAAATTTCAAACCTCATATATAATTACCCTTCCTCAATTAATTACTCCCTCCAGCGGAAGGTCGAAACAATAATTATCCAGGATAGTTAATAAAAGTTTTACGGTATCTCATTACTACCCCAGAACTCCCAGTTTTTCAGTCTTAAACGATTCGGATAACTGAGAGAGAGTTTATTCCGAGTATTTTTAATCCCCAAATTTTTTTAAAGGACAGGAGCACTTCGTTTTGTTGTTTTTTACCCTCTACATTCTGCTATAAATATTTCTTTTTTTGGAGCGCCTCCTTCATTTTGCATTAATTTATACAAAATACAATTGTGGTTATTAAATTCTCTTTTACAAGAAAAAATTGTTGAAAATTTGATAAATGAAGGGCCGGGAGTATTTATCGGTTTTGTTGAATTTAGAGATCTTTTGAGTAGCGATACGAGATTAAAATATAAAATTAGAATAATTCCGATAGAAAGAAGAGAAATAGATGGAAATTGTATTTGTGAATTAAATAATAAATGTGGGTGTGTTCAGGCAAGTTTTTAATTATTTAAAACTTTTATAACGATAACCACAGACATCCCTTGCAATTTAGACTTTGTTTTCCTTTTTAATTTAAGATCTCGATTCTCTAAACCCCTTCTATTTATTTAATTTCCTCAAATATAAATTTTTAAATTTATTTAGTACAATCATTGGGTTAATTTATTATTTTTACTCTAACTGAGATTATCTACATTCTAAAAATGTTAGCGTATTTGCAGATAACAACCCCAATCTCCTTCTATCCAACATAAACAAAATTGAAATTTCTTAGGATTAAATAAAAAAATTTTATTTTTAAAAGAAAGTTTAATTTAAAGGTTATTTCTGATTGGTTTACAATGCCAAATGCTTCTACATCTTCAATTACTTTTAATCACGAACCTATACAAGAAACAATTTCCCTATTAAATACTAGCAAAAATGAAATATTAAAATTAAACGAAGAAAAAACAAATTCTTTATTTTTGTTAATTTTAATTTGTTTATTCCTTGCCTTAACTTTTATTCTTCTTACTTTTGCATTTTTACTTTTTATTTTAAAGAAAATTGGCTGGATAAAAGGAAAAAGGCAATCCTTTATTATTATCAGGTATTTGGGAATATCTTTTTAAAATTAAGATAGATATTTAATTGGAGAGAGTTTTGTAGTTAATCTACGAGAATTTTTTTAAAAAAATTTTGGCTTGGAGGGATTTAAATAAATCCAAAGATTTCAAGTACAAAATTTTACATATATCAGGGATGTCACCGGGTTACTTCACAACTTGTTGTATCCTGATAACCTATCCAAATAATACCTATACAGTCGGACCTCAATTTTAAATGTTCTTTTGAAACTGAACATCAAATTAAAAAATGAAAGTTATCTTACATTGTTTAAACAATCTCAGTCCCTCCCCCTATCAAAATTGAGATTTATTTCATTTTTGGAGGTTTTAATAAATATTTTTTAAATTTAATTTTAAAATTATTTCTTTAAGAAAACCAAAAAATGAACATAATATCCTAGCTACCTCCAAGAAATACAACAATAGTGGTGTTCCTTTATTAAATGGGAATGTTTCTGGTGGTGTTTATTCGATTTTATTAGCCAATGCCCAACCAACAAAAAGTGCCGATTTGGAACGTTTTGCCCGTTTGTTAGTTAAAAACGGCGTTAGAATATTTTATGATCGTTGGGATAAAACGGCTATTGAAAGGAATTTACTTCTTTGGGTACAACAAGCAACAACAAAAGCTGATAAAGTAAAGAGAAATAAATAAAATTTAAGAAAAAATATCTTTTAATTAAAGGCAGTTTTCTTTTGGGATAAAAGAGCCGAACAATTAATTACTCCAAATGAAGTATCAAAAACAAGTACAAATATTTCTTGTAATTCATCAGACATTTTTGATCACGTCTTTTGTGCTCTCCATCAACAAATGGATCCGGAAAAAACTGTTAAGAATTTTTAAAAATTAAAAAAAAAAGATTTTTTAATTTATACGCCCCTTTAGTTAAGTCCGAAAAAGCTCTTATAATGTAAGGCATATAGTGCTATTTAATTCCTAAGGCTATGCAGCAGGCGCATGATGTAATGAATAACACATCAGTCCGGTCTACTGAAGATGCTGGTTCGCTCACAGCCGCCGATTAACCTTTTGCACTAGCTAAAGGAGAGAATAACTATAGCCCAGCTGCTTTACTATAATAAAAAATTGAGATAGTAAAATGACGGACCGATCCTAGAAAATATAAAAAATTGAAGGAATTGGTCTAAAATAAGCTCCCCGAAGCAAAGTTGCTGTTATCTACTTATCCATATCTCTCTGATTTACTATGGCAGAATTTTTTAAATTATTTTGATTGATGACTAAATAATTCTTTGAGCTGCCTCCAAAAATGTTTTGGCCTAAAAACTCTATTTTCCTTTTATTTTAGAAATTAATTACTATAAATTTTAGATTTTTGTTAATTGGGATGAATCCGCTATTAATGAAAAACCTCTTGGATGTGTGGGAGAGAATAGACCGTTCCTTTTTTCGAGAGATTTGGCATTAATTTATACAGCATTAAATATTCCAGCGAGTGAATTAGACATTCAAGTAATTAATTTTTTTTAATTTTATTAAAAAAAAGAATATTTTTTAAAGAAATTTGCACGTTTACCTTCCTCTTCTTTAATTTCTTCTTCAACAACTCCTTCATTAACTATTTGCGTGCCAATTAAGGCAAATAGTAAATTAAAAGAAAATAAAAAAATTGAAAAAGATAAAGGAAATAATTTAAATAATGAAGAAAAAGAAGAAGAAAATATATTTTTATTGCCAAATAATGAAGAATGTGAAAATGAAGGAAATAAGGAATTGTTGTTGAATATTAATGTAAAAAATAAATTAAATACTTAATAATACTTAATAATAATTACTTAATAATTATTAAAATACTTAATAATAACTAAATTAATTTTTTTTACTCTTTAAAAATCAATTTTAAATTTTTCCAGTCAGCTAATCAAGACAAATTAAGAGAAGAAAAAGAAAGGCAATTATCTGTATTTGATTCAGGAATTGATTCTTCTTGTGTGATTGCCTTATAAAATTTTATTCTTTACATTTATATATACATAATATTTTTATATTTTTTGTTAGAAATTTTTTATTTTATTTATAATTGTTTGGGAAGTTCTTGAAGGATTTTCTCGGAACCGATTAAGTATACACTCTGTTACCTCCTTTTTTAAATTTTATTTTATATTTATTTTGAAATGATAACGATATTAAATTGTTTTATTTTTAATAAATTTATATATAAATATACATATTTTTAAGTATTTTCTAGAGTTGACCGGGATCGGGATCCCGGTTGGGACCCAGGCTCGGGATCATTATTCCAAAATCCCGATCACGACCAACTCTAGTATTTTCTATTGTTTTAAGCCTTTTAACTTCTCAATAAAAATTATTTTATTTTTCCAATATAAAGCTCAGATAGTTTATTTTCAATAAATTCTCGAGAAAATCCGTGTGCCACAACATTATTTATTGCAATGCTTATATCCTTTAAAAATGAACAAAATAATTAATTTAAAAGAATTAATTACTTTCCCCGCATATTTAAGCATAGCATCACCTCCTATTTAAAAAATTAATATTCAAATAATTGAATATTTTAAATACCTGGATGAGCTAAAAAAATAATTTTTTAAATTTTTTTATTTAAATTTAAAACATACATTTATAATAACAGGTTAAATTATAAACCTTTAAATAAATTAATTTATTAATTTAATTATTTAAATACCTTTCCATCTTTAATTAGCCAAATATCATCTGGATATTTATGCAAATTAACCTCATCAATGGAAAAATATTTTTCATTTGTCATTTTAGGAAAATTTATTTCAGTTATATATGCTTGTAACTCCTAATGTAGTAAAGAGCGTCCTTTTGTTTTTTACTTTTAGAAATATGTAAATAATTAAATAATTATGTATAAACCAATATCTGTTTTTAAAAATTTTTTCGATTTTATCTGGAGAAATTGTAGTCTCTTGGTTTCCGAAAAAATGGAAGAATTGTGTCTTCTTGGCCTTAAAAAATTATAATTTCCTTCCTGCAACACTAATAAGTTAATTATTAAACTAATAAGTTATGTAATAAGTAAGTTAATTAAACTAATGAGCACTAATAAGTTAACTAAAGTATGTATTATAAAATTTTCGATCTATCTCTGCTGAAAAATTACTCTCGGTCACTTATTTTCGAATTCTCGGCTTTCGACACTTTAGTTTTATTACGTTTGAATTTTTTGACATTAAAAAAAATCAAAATATTATTTTTTAAATTGATGATAAACACGGCATTAAGCAGGCAAAATTTAATGTACAATAAATAATTCACAAGTCGAGGACACTGGTTCACAAGTCGGGGACAAATTTTAAAAATATTATGGGATTTAAAACTTTCCCCAAATTTTTCAGTTTCAAATTTTATTAAGCTAGATTTAGTCTCATTTAAGGCTTGCCTTTAAATGGGCTATCTTTGAATTTTATTTTTCACTCTAAAAATGTCACTCCTATAGTTTTATATTATCAAAGACCCGTAACTCGATTCTTCTGTTTCCCCCAATTTAACCTCTTGGATAATAGGGCTTACAAGTTAAGAATTTCCTTGTAATTATTTCAAAATTTGTTAAAAAATATTTTTAAATAAACTCCGATAAATTTAAATAATTTATTTATAAAATTTTTCTTGTTAAAGTAAAAAAATATATAGTGTAAGAATATGAGCAAATATATTATAAGTGTAATATTTAATTGGAAAGGGAATTACTTAAAAATAAAAGAAAGACGGAATATTTTCAAATTTCAGCTCTGATAAAGATACAATCCTTATAAATTAAATGAGAAAGAGGATTAAAAAACGAATAAAGTTAGCTCCTCTCCAAGATCCTCACAGTCACTTTTACAAATTCTTACGGAAAAGTTACAGAACCAAAGGAGAATTGACAGAAAAATTAGCTAGAAAAAATCTAAATAAGTATGGAGGGCTTGAGGAGCAAAGAAGGAGCAAACCAAATTAGTTTATATAAAAAGACAAATATTTAATTAAATTAATATGCAACTGATAAATATTGTATTTTATTTTTGATAACTAATTTCGTCTTGTTTATGGCATTAAATATTAATGCATGTCCTAAAATAAAAAAAATAAATTTTAATAAATTAAAAAAATAAATTTTAAATTAAATCTTTGCCTTAAGGCTGTGTCGTAATATCAGTAACTATGGAAAAAGGAAGGACTGCAAAATAAATACAATTTTTTTGTTTTTAACTATCCTTCTCGTACCTATCCTAATTTCCCAAAACACACTTTTTTCCCAAAATTTTGAAAAATCAAACAAAATCTTCTTTACTTGTTAACTACTAGTGTTTATATTAATCGAAGAATTCGAGCATTCAACTAATTGGCTAGTCGAAACAATTTGTTGTTGTTGTCCAATCGTTTGGGGTGCAAAAGCCAAATTATTACAAGTCCCAATACCCAAGGAATTATGTGTTGGTGTTCCTCCAGGGAATAATTGTTTTAAATGCTCGACTCGAGCAAGTAATTCTGCTGCAACTGTTTCGGCTTTAACAGAGTCACGATCGCAAAATGCATAAAGCAGCCTGAAAATGTTTAAGTTTGTGACTAAATAACCAAAACAAAAATTATCTACTACACTTTTTCGAAATCATTTCTAATTTATAAAAATAAACAAATTCCTCTACCTTTTTAACAAAGATTGAAATTTCATATTTTCAACAGTAACAGAAATCGCACTCTGCAAATCAGCAACTTCAACATTGAAAAGAAGAATAAGTCCAAGTAATAAATTAATTGTTTCATTTCGGCGCCATTCGACCGGAAAATCAACGTAGAATCTTTAAATTAAAACATCAAAGAATGTTTTGGCTCCAAATATCACAGAGAATCATTCTTTTAATTAAAGTTCGGATCTACATATCTCTCATTTTAGTCAATAAATAATCAACCTAACCCTACGGGAGATCTCTAGTTTTAATCCCAATTCTACCTTATAGTTGATTCGGGAACTCCATTTTGTCGTAAAATAGCAACAGTAAATTCATTCACCTCCACACTCAAAACAGAACGAAGAACAAAAAAACTTCCAAAACAACCTTCAATTTAAAAAATATTTTTTCAATTTTTACAAAATAAATATTCACTTTTTAATAAACGTTCTTGGTCGTGCTGATCAAGACGTTTAAAAGCATCCAAAGATTTGGCTAAACCAATTAATCGACGCAAATCAGATTCTGTGTAATGCCCCATCAAAAACTGTAAATCCCCAGACTGAGCCCCTCCCGCAGTTAAGGAAATGTTTGAAGAAGTTGTTGCCGAAGTCTTCCAAATTTCGTTAGCCTTTGACAATTCAGCCAATTGTTCTTGGTCAGAAGCACTAAGTTGGTGAAGAGATGAAGCAATTGAAAAAGAAGCACCGCCTAATTTTAAAAATAGGATTAATTGTCTAGTACCAGAATATAATGAACTTTAAAAAAATACTGACCCAAAATTTAAAGTTAAATAACAATCTAACTACCGTAAAACTCTGAATATTACCCTGGGTAATTATTGTCTCGACCTTCCGCCGGAGGGTTAATTAATTGAGGGAGGGTAATTATATATGAGGTTTGAAATTTGAACGTGTTTTAGGGTATTTAATGGGAAGTAATTATTATTCCAATTCATCGCTAGAGGCGGGGGTAATTAACATGTTGGTTTGAGGGAGGGCAATAAATACAGGTTATAAGGTAACTATTTTTAAATTAACTTTAAGTGAAAATCCTCAAAAAATTTAGTCCCAAAAATTCAAATCCAAACACAATTTTTAATTTAATTAATTAAAGTACTTGTGTCCATTGTTTCAACAAAATTTCCGGTAGTAATAGACTGATTAATTAAAGTATTTTGTTGTTGTGTTTGTTGTAATGATATTTGCCCGTTGGTGACAGATTGGAAATGTACAGGCTGTGATTGAAGAGAATTTCGAGGTGTCGAATTGTTACTGCTTGTGCTATTGTTATCCCCTCCGCCGAGATGCTTAGATGAACCTTCTAACAAATCAGTCATAACCTTTTAATAAGATTATTAGTTATAGTTTAAAAATATAATCAAGGAATTTGGGTGTGCTCTACTCTATTAAAAATTTAAATCTTCACACCTTATCAACAATAGGAACATCATTCGGATATCTCCCACAATGGCAATGACACAAACATTTACTTGGTGGTTGTACTTGTGTTTTGTCGCTTTCAATTCTCTGTTCCACCAATTTAAGTAAAATATCTTTTGGAATTGAAACCATTTCTAAATATTGTGGATGAATTGGTTGTTGCTGCTGTTGTTGGGGTTGTTGAGTTGGAAATTGTTGACATTGAAGTAAATTTTGTGATTGAGACTGGTTAGTAGATATTGAAGAAGTAATTGTTTGTTGTTGTTGAATTGAAGAAGTATTTTGTTGGGGAGGTGTACAATTATTGTTATTATTTAATTGTCCTCCTCCTGTTCCAATACTCATCTAAATTAAATGGAATAATTAATTAAAACTAATTAATGTCAAAATTTTCCTCTAGAAGTTGGGTAAATCCTTCAAAAAATATTTTAACTTAAAACTATAATATTTTTATTATATTCTCAATTTTCTAGAGAATTTATAAAGATTTTAAAAAAAACTCTTAAAAAATAAAGACACTTAAAGAAAGAATTCATTCATTAAAATTAGGGTCCGGTCAAATTATGGTCCGGTCTGAAAGATCGAGTCGGGCATCGAATTTTGGCCCGAAAAAGACTCGGTCGGGCCGGCCCGAAAAAAAATCACTCGAACGTCGGCCCGACTCGAAAATGGCAAACTCTAATTCAAATGGCCAATTCGCCAAAGCCTCCTCTTAACAACTACTAACAACATTTTTGTAAAATAACACAAAAAACTAATATTTAATTAACTACAAATCTTTTAAAAATTAAAATGACCGACAATACTTGACGGTTGCTGAATTAAAATATTTCCAGTTTGTGTTGTTGTTTGTGGAATTAATTGTGGTAATACATTTGGGTTTGGAGGAGGAGGAATTGAAGGTTGTTGAGGTGTTTGTTGAGGTTGTGAAGCTAAATGGGCAGCAGCTACCTCAATAAAACAATTTGGTAAAATGCCAGTTGAAGGAGCTGGAGTAACTATTTGAGAAGGAATATTTGGAGGTTGTTGGTTGTTAGTTTGAATTGTTCCTGTAGAGAAAACATTGGCAACCTAAAAATATTATGTGATCAGGGAAGTAATGGAAAATGTTTAAATAAATTACTTGTTGTAATTGTTGATTAACATTTTCATTTTGAGCATTAGTTGTACTCCCAGGAGTTAAAAAAGCATTATTTGTATTTAATGACTGCTGATTTAAATGTTGCTGTTGTTGTTGTTGATGGTGATGAACAGCAGCTACATTTGCTAAAGCAGCCAACTAAAAAATTAAAAAAAAATATTTTTAAACTAAGGAAAGTAGGTAGACTTGTTGTTGTTGATGTTGAGCTATTTGTTGTTGCATTTGCTGAACTTGTGCAGCAGCTACTATTTGAGCAGCCGCTTGTTGTTGAGCAACATGTTGTACTTGTTGCTGTTGCTGTAAATGATGGGCTACTGCTGCAGCGGCGGCCGCCTGTTGTTGCTAAAATAAAAATTAATTAGAGGAATTTACAATTAAAAGGTTGTATTTGGTCTCTAAATGTTTTAAAATGCTTATGTAGGTTTTTATGTCTAAAATAAATATTTTACATGAGAAGCAACAATTTGTTGTTGAATAGATTCAGTTACTGTCGATGCCTGTTGTGTTGTAATATTTGGTGGATTGCCTGAAATTTGTTGTTGTTGGCTATGTTGTTGTTGAATTAATGCTGCAGCAACGGCAGGGGGGAGTGGATTGGAATTCTCGTTGGTTGTTGTAATCATTGTTGAAGTTGATTGGTTGTTAGTATCTGGAATAAGTCCAGCAGAAACTAACAATGATGAAGAGTGTTGTTGAAGTCCTAAAAATGTATTTTTAAATTAAAAAAGAAAATAAAGCTAATCAAAAATTAATTTTTTAAAGTTAGATACACAAACTATATCAGACTTGGTAATGGACATGGATTTTGGTATACGTATCCGGATATTTAAGGCGGATACAAACGGATATCCTCAAGCGTTTTGAACTTATCTGTATCCATATCCATTACCTGAACTATATAATAGAATGGTTAAGGGTAAATCCTGATAATATACATATGTATAACCCCAAAATCACCTAATTAATGGAGAAAAACAAAAGTGGATGTTTATATGTAGGAGAGGACATGAACAAATAATTATTATATATCTGGCTAAATGAATCATTCATGGAAATTCTTTTTTTTACCCCATAAAAATCTAAAAAATTTACTTAATTTCTACATAAAAAATAAAAAATAAAGAGGAATGTCTACATAGAGATAAAAAAATAATAATTAAAATAGTCTGTGTCTTTTAAGATAGCCACTAAATGTCATGAGTGAGGAGGCCAATCTTAAGACTGTATGAGACAAGGAGTAGTGAAGGTTGATAGGGCAAGGTGTTAAATAAAAATATAAACTAAAAATATTGCAATGGGGGAAAATCGAAGGGACAAAAAAGTAGGTAAAATTGGGGAAATAGCGATAAAATAAAATATAGGTGGAGGAAGAAGAACACTAAAAATAGGAAAAAAATGGTAAAGAAATAATATTTTACTTTAAACACTAACCCCAGTAGAGATTCCCCCCTTATGCTACGTCTACATAAAAAAACGCGCGCGTTTTCCGCAGAAAATAGTATGGAAAAGTGAGAGAGAAAAAACGCCGGCGTTTTGTCGGCAAACTGAGAGTGTCTACATAAATTGCGTTTTCCGCTGCCGAAAAAACGCTAGCGTTTTTTCGGCGGTTTGAGTGTCTACATAAGTTGCGTTTTCCGCCGGCGGAAAAAACGCTAGCGTTTTTTCGGCAGTTTGAGTGTCTACATAAATTGCGTTTTCCGTTGCGTTTTTTCCGCCGGCGGAAGAATTTTAATATCAAAACAGTTTGATATTTTTTTGCGGAAAATTTTTGATAAATTTCAAAAATTAATTTCTCGATAAATATTCGACCAATTTTAAAAATTTAAAAAGATTATCTACATAAAAAACGCTAGCGTTTTGCGGAAAACGCTAGCGGAAAAAACGCCGGCGGAAAACGCTGATGTGTGTCTACATAAAAACAGCGTTTTCCGCAATGCGTTTTTCCGCTAGGCAGAAAACGCTGTTTTTATGTAGACACTTTTTAGCGTTTTCCGCCAGCGTTTTTTCCGCCAGCGTTTTCCGCAAAACGCTAGCGTTTTTTATGTAGACGTAGCATTACAAACGATAAATACCTTTCAATGGTTCTTTGGAGGTGATTATTGTAAATTATTATTATTTAATTGACCTAATTTTTGATTTATATCATTATTTACTTTAAAAACAAAAATAAATATATCAATATTTGTGGTCAACATTGAAAGATGATTAATGAAGAACAAAACATGGGAAAGAATGGTGGGTCAACATATGCATTATTAAAAAATTTTAAATGATACCCTAAAGACCAACTACCAATGATGAAACTTTGATGATTATGTAAAATTTTATAATCAGAGATTATTTTGATCTGACCTAATTAAAGGAAAGTATAACTCAACTTGCACAACATTTTCACTCTGTAAAGGCAGTGTTTGTGGTTGTTGCTGTTGCAATGCTGCTGCTTCTTCTGCAGCGGCAGCAACTAGAGCAGCCAAAGCAGGAGGCGGTGCAGCTTGTGGTTGTTGAACATCCCCAACATGTCCACCACCCGCCACTGTTGTGTGAATAGAAGTACTACTCCCAACAGGAACCCCAACAACCGGAGGAGGAAGTTCGTCTGCAACATTAAATTGTTGTTGCGATTGTTGTTCAGGTTGTGGTTGTTGTTCCATTGGTATATCGTCAAGTTGTTGTTGTAAATGTTGCTGTTGTTGATGCGCATGATGAAGTAGAACAGCAGCGGCTGCTTGGTTAACCTGAAAAGTTGAATTAAAGAGATTGGGTCACAACAATTTCAATACTACCCATAATTTCCCTTTTAAAAGGGCATAATTAACTAAAATCTAATAAAATATAAAGAGCTCACAACTTGTTGAACAGCCGCAACTTGTGCAGCAGCTGCTACTTTAGCCGCAGCCATTACTTGTTCAGTACCGGTTGTTTGTGTATTCAATAATGGCGCGGCTGCTGGAGAAGTGAAGGGATTTTGTAATCCAGCCAAAGGTGGTAAATCAGTAACTAGTGGATTGGGGACTTCTTGCTGGTGTGTCAATTGAGGTACAAGTTGTTGCTGTTGTTGCTCAGTATGTAAAGCCTCGACTTGTAACATTTCAACTCGTTGTGCTGCTTGGGTTTGTTGTTGTGTTTGAAGAAATGAAGCGGTAGTTATTGAATCTGATTGAAGGAGTGGCTGTTCCTTAAATTTTTATGTTTTTTGATAAATTGGAATAAGGAGATGTTCAGATTTAATAGAAAAAGAATTTTAATATTCTTTTTTGATTCAAATGTTAGATTTCATAAGGTTTCAATTGGAGGTTTAGGAAGTTAAAAATATATTTCCCACCTGTTTAATACTCTTTCTCGTTTGTTGTTGATTTAAAGTCAACTCTTGTTGATCCATCTCCGTAGAATGTTTAAGAACTGCCGCAGAACCTCCCATTTGCCCACCCAATCCAAGAGCGGCATTTACAGAAGCAACGGCCGCAGCAGCAGCCGCCCGACGTTCCCTATTCTCCTGGATTCTTTGCTTCTTTTCAAGTCTAGCTTCATCACTCATTATCCATTCTTTTTTCATTCCAACTCGAAAACATTTTTGAAGTCGACAACGTTGACAAAAACGTCGAGAAACTGTATTGATGTCACATTGCTCATTAAATGGACAACGAATTTCCTATAAAAATTAGAAGTAGAAGGAAGGTCCACTAAGTTAGTGGACCCAAGGAAGGTCCACTAAGTTTCCTTGGTCAAATATCCAGAAAATTCAAAGGATTTCGAAAGGGTCTTCCAAATTGTCTTACTCAATTCTTTGCATCCCCATTCTGTAAACCCCTCCCCCCCCCCCCCCCCCCCCCAAATTACTTTTTCTTTGTTGGCATTACGTCGAAAGAAAGCCTTGCAAGATTCACAAGTTATCACGTTAAAATTATAACTATATGCTTTATCCCCACAAACACGACAAATTTTCGTTGCTGGACGTTTCTCCATTGGAGCAAAGTTTGTCGATGACCCTGCACATCCACCTGCTGCTGCCAAACTAATTGTCATTGTATTTGTTGTAGAGGCACAAGAAGCACTTGAAAAAGAAAATGCCCGCTTCCTCTTTGAACTTGATGGGCCAACAGAAGTAAATATTTCTTCTTCACATTCTTCCTCCTCTTCATCTTCCTCTTCTTCTTCATCTTGACTTGTTGGATGACCTCTATCAAATTCCTCATCGTCCATTCGTTGTGGATAGTTTAAGTATTCAGAAGAACTAAGTTCAGTAAAATGTTGTTGTGGATGAGTTACATCATAATGATGATGGTCTGGACCTTAATAGCATTAAATATTAAATTAAAGGAATCCTTGGACTCTTAAATGTTATCAGGCACATAAAGTGTCATCTTAACTGTCATCTTAATTTCAGAAGATTTTTCGGTTCGATCCCGGATATCCAAAGATTTTCCTAAGAACCAACAACCCTCTATCATTATTTACTCCAAAAAACACACCAGAATAAAAATAGCTTTGAAGTTGTGAGACAGAGGAGCTCACTGCTGTATTCTTCACTTGCCCAACAGGCGGCATTGAATTACAATGATCTACCAATTGAATTCTTGAATAACGATCAGAAAGTTGCCTTTCTCTATCGTCATCTTCCCCCTCTCCATCTGCACCACTATCTGGGCCTCCACTATTGTAATATTGTTTTGAATGATAACGATCTGGAGGACTTTGTTGTTGACGACCATAAGGGTGATCAAAAGACTAATAAAAAAATAAGAGAAAAAAATATTTTTATAAAAAATATATTTTTAAATGTACTTTATTATGTGCCACTGCAGGCATTGAAGAACGACGAGGTCTACCTCGTTGACGCATTTTTAATAAAATTATTTATTGCTTATTTTTAATTAATTGTATTTAGGTAGTTTATTTAAAATGTCAGAAAGCATAAATAAAACTAAAAAGAGAAATTTAATTTTCTGAAGATTTCGAGATTAAAAGGAAATTAAGAAGAGATAAAAAATGAATTAAACTAAAATTCTAAAATCTCTCTAAATTTTATATTACTTTTCTGAGAGATTTATCAGTTTTTTGTAAAAATGTGGATTTTAAAGAGATTAACGCATAATTACCGTTAATGCTGAAATAATGTCCCTCTCTCAAATAATTACCCCTGCCCTATTAATTACCCCCCCCCCCCCAGCGAAAGGTTGAAACATTAATTACCCAGGGGAATTATTTTAGCAAATACGGTATTGTAGATAATAAAATTCAACGAAAATGAAATTTTTGAGTACTCAGGAATTTCTAAAGTGAGAAAGTTTAATAAAAAATAATTAAAACTAAAGGTTTAAATAATTTATTAGTAAATTAAATTATTTAGAATAAGATTATATTTTTTATATTAAATGTTAATGTAGTATTTTATGCCTTTAATAATTATTTTCTTTTTTTTATCAGTTTAGTACTGACATTTTGATTTTTCTTTTTGCAAACTTCCGTTAATAAATATATTTTGTTTAGGTTCACTAAACTAAAAATAGTTTTACCTTGGGAGGAAGTAAAAGACCTCCTCTCTTTAAAGAAAGAAAGTAAAAACCTTCCAAACAATTTTTGTATTTAGATATTTGTTGGCAAACAAAAAAATGACTAATAAAAATGAGAAAGAAAAGGAGGAATGTTTGAGGGTTTAATGACGTTTAGGCGTTGGGTATTGAATGTAGGGACTTCCGGGATCCCGAGTTTTTTCTTAACCGATGCCGGGAAGGGATCCCGAGGGATAAATCCCGAAAATCAAAAAAATCCGGGATTTCGGGATCGCGGAAAATCCTGTCGGGATCCCGTCCCGCGCCGGTCTCTAATTGAAGTTTATTGAGTAAAATTTTGTAGGAATTTTTGATATTAACTAATTTTTAAATAAATTTAAGAAAAAATATGGCTAGAAAGTTAAAAAAAAGTTTTTTTTAAATAAACAATTTTTTAAAAAATTAATAAAAATTTTCAAGATGCTAACACAAAAATAAAATTCAAAATAAATCCAAGTATTCTTTAATTATTTTTTAAATCTACCCCCCTAAACGCCCCAACGCCTTAATGACTCATTTCCTCTGAAAATGGCAGCCCGTAAAAGAAACTAAAAAAATATTTGTATTTGGTGAATGAACGCAAATGGATGGTCTAGTGTAAAGGAACAGCAACAAATATAATTTCGAACAAATATTTAAAGGTATGGGAGAAAGCAGTAAAAATTGTAAAAATGATTTAATTTGATAAAAAGGAAAAAATATTTTATTTAAATAAAATCAATTTAAGAATTTTGAAAAAAATGACAAATTAAGTGCATTATTGGTATTTAATTTTTATGAAATATAATTTGGGAAAGGGATGGGAAAGGGAATTAGCAAATAGATATTTCCGGACTGCCTTCTGAGAAAATCTCTTTTTTATTTAAAACAATTTTGGATCTAAATTCGTCCAAAAATAAAATCTCTTTTAGTTTAAAAATAAATCCAAAAAATTTAAGTTGAACAAAAAATATTTATTTAAAACTTTTAAATTTAATAATAACAAAATAAAAATAACCAAAAATCTAATATATTTATTTGGGATTAAGAACGGAATGTGGACATCATACATAAATATTACAAATATTTATTTTTATTTCAAAATTGAAGAGAGACGAAGACAGATAAAAAAATAAAACAAAAAATAGTTTTGCCCCCATAATCACGTGATGTGGCCAAAATAATCAGTTAGTGAAAGGGCGCAAGTGAGTACGAGAGATCGGAAATTGAGGGGAGAGGGGGAGTTGTTAGACTTTAAAAAAAAGATAAATAAAAATATATCCGCTCCTGCACTAAAAATATTTGTTTTTATCGTCTGCACTCAAAAGAAAAGAGAAAAAAATAAAAATAAAAAAAAGGTCTTTTAAGGAATGACAGCCGAAAAATAAGTGCAAAGTACATTAGAAAAAAGTAAAAAAAATATTAGAAACGGCTGGCGAAAACAAATTTTTAGAATAAACACCAAAAAGCGATCTTTGATTTAATTGTATTTATTAAATGCCATAATTTTTAAAATTAAAATAAAAGTAATTTAAATATTGAAGGAAAAAGATTGATATGGCACTAGAAAAGGGCGTGTTTTTAAAAAATAATTTTAATTAATGTTAATACATAATTACTTATTAATTTTAATGTTAATTAATTTAAAAAATATTCCAAAAATTAGGTATATGTATTTAAAATGCCCAGACTTTACGGAATTTTTTTTAGATTTTTTGTCAATAAAAATTTCAAAAATCGAAAAGTATGGAAGAGTTTTATCAGTTAAATAAATATATCAAAAATTAACGTGTAGTTTATTTAATTTAGAAAAAATTCCAACAATAAAGTAATTTTATTAAAGTTGTCTAAAAAAAATTTTTAAAAATTAATTTTCAAAATTCTAAACAAATTATTTATCCAATCTACTAGAATTATCGAATAGAAGTAAAAATTAATGGGCGCGCGAGTGCTTGTGAACAGAACGTGGGATCAACAAAAATGATAAACGAGAAGATTGAGCGGTTAGAAAATAGGGAAAATGCGGAGATTGTTTGTATGATTGATTGGTGATATTTTGAAGGAAAGAAGAAAATATATTGGCGGAAAAAAGTTTAGTGGAGGGAGGAAAGTGTGTGTGGAGTGGAGTGTGGAGTATGTGAAAAGTAGGGGGGTCCAAAGGTCCACCTATCCCCCTCTCCCTTGATGGCCTTTTCTTTTGCTCCGTTAATGTTTTTCATCGATAAAAACTTGAAGAGAGATTAGGTCAATCCAAATGGACTAAAATTGACAGAAAAGAAGTGATCCTTTGGAGGATAACTTTAATATACAAAAAGGGCTAGTAGGTATTTTGAAATTCATTCAGGGAAAGATTAGGGGTAGGGAAGATTAGGGGCAGGGGCATAAACTTTAAGTTCTTGTACTTCTCTGAACGTCATTTTGATTTGAAAGTAATTGAAACTAAATTTCGAAATCTCTCGCGGCCATGATGAATAAATTTTTATATTTGCCATTAAAATTTAAGGCTGTAGTGTAGTGTACCGGTGGTAAAAGTTCGGGACGTGACATATGTCATTCGATTCGTCTCGACGAGCTGAGTCGAACGGTACCACTCCCTACTTTAGGAAATAATTCTGGACCGAGTTATAGGTCCCGAAAAATCGAAAAACCAAAGGGGGGACCAAGCACTTTTTTGGGGTGAAAAATTCGAAAATGCAAATTATACCTCATTCGAAAGAGCTCGTCGAGCTGAGTCAAATGACACCAAAATCAACGAAATCCGACTTGATTGGACAAAGTTATGATCTTTTATTTTAGCTCCTTACCTATGGCATCTGTGGAGAATTTTGCTGCTACGGAGGCCACAAATACGTCCAGAGCAAGGGAGATAGGAATAGGTTTATGTTACGAGCCCAGACCCAACGCCCGTAGACTCCCCGCGAGGCGCGTGCCGCAAAACCCCGCGCGAAGCGCGGGGTTTTGCACAAGCGCCTCGCCGACGCTCCATAGGTTTAGGTTTTTTTTGTTTTTTTGTGTCGTAACTTTGTCTAATCTTGTCCAATCACGGTCATTTTGATGTCATTCGACTCAGCTCGTCGAGCTCTTTCAAATGAGGTATAATTTGCATTTTCGAATTTTTCACCCCAAAAAAGTGCTTGGTCCCCCCTATGGTTTTTCGATTTTTCGGCACCTATAACTCGGTCCAGAATCATTTCTTAAAGTAGGGAGTGGTACCGTTCGACTCAGCTCGTCGAGACGAATCGAATGACATATGTCACGTCCCGAACTTTTACCACCGGTACACTACACTATATCCAAATTTAGATTAAATTATGAAAAATCGCAGAATTTTAGTAAAAAATAAACAGTTAATTTGTAAAGTGTAAAATATTGAAATGACGGGAAAATCGCTAAATTATTGAGGTACATACTTATATTGAAATTTAACTTTGTTCAAAATCAAAATATCGAGAAACTAATGCCATATTAGGCTTCTTTTGATGAAATGTATTTACATAAAAATATATGTACTATTTAAATAAAAATCCGGACCCAAACAATCATTTTAAAATTTTCGAATCATTATTAACTAGGGTTGTTGTCAACCGGTTTTAAAACAAAAAAATTTCTAAATTATGATTCTTTAAAATAACCCAAAACAAAACCGGCATTTGACTATAACTCAGAACCTAAAACCAGAGATATCGGTTAATTACCAGTTAACATTATCAGTTAACAGTTAACTTTAATGAACAAAAATGTAATAACAATAAAAATTAGAAGGTATTTATGAAAGTGTAAATAAAAAATGTCTTTAAGAATTTATTATCCTCACAATTAGCATGCTCTTTGGGCAAGTTCACGAGTTCTTAGCGGTTGTATGATGAAATATTTAACGTTATTTGGAGGGTGGAGTCGAGCGATTTAAAAACGGGAATATTAAGAGAAACAAATGAAATAGGCAAATGAAAAATAAATTTTATATTTAGGGGGGTGGCTGGTTGGTTGATGTGCACTCATTTTATTTTATTTTTTTCTTCAAAAAAATAATACAATTTCTCATTTCTTTTTTTCTTTTCCTTTCTCCAAAAACTTTAGTATATTTAACTATCAAGTTTTTTTTATTTTATTAGCTTTTTAGCAATGACTTCCCTGCTGACAAGGGAAGAGAGTAAAGGGGGTACATGGGAAAGAGAAAGACAGGAAATCCCATTGCTGAAATCGCTGAGAGCACAACGAATACATTTAATAGACAAAAAATGAACGTTTGCACTCGTGTGTTTTAGAATGATTTTAGTTAAGTTTTAAGCTGCTTTATTTTTTGCTAGTTTT